TTTTCCGTTCTAATAAATATATTTGATAACCGGGGTGTCCCCCGGAATCAAATAAATTATCATATCGAGAATCGGAGATCCTTGCAGTTTCGGTTTTTTCGAAATGTGAGAGATTTTCCGTTCTAATAAATATATTTGATAACCGGGGTGTCCCCCGGAATCAAATAAATTATCATATCGAGAATCGGAGATCCTTGCAGTTTCGGTTTTTTCGAAATGTGAGAGATTTTCCGTTCTAATAAATATATTTGATAACCGGGGTGTCCCCCGGAATCAAATAAATTATCATATCGAGAATCGGAGATCCTTGCAGTTTCGGTTTTTTCGAAATGTGAGAGATTTTCCGTTCTAATAAATATATTTGATAACCGGGGTGTCCCCGGAATCAAATAAATTATCATATCGAGAATCGGAGATCCTTGCAGTTTCGGTTTTTTCGAAATGTGAGAGATTTTCCGTTCTAATAAATATATTTGATAACCGGGGTGTCCCCCGGAATCAAATAAATTATCATATCGAGAATCGGAGATCCTTGCAGTTTCGGTTTTTTCGAAATGTGAGAGATTTTCCGTTCTAATAAATATATTTGATAACCGGGTGTCCCCCGGAATCAAATAAATTATCATATCGAGAATCGGAGATCCTTGCAGTTTCGGTTTTTTCGAAATGTGAGAGATTTTCCGTTCTAATAAATATATTTGATAACCGGGTGTCCCCCGGAATCAAATAAATTATCATATCGAGAATCGGAGATCCTTGCAGTTTCGGTTTTTTCGAAATGTGAGAGATTTTCCGTTCTAATAAATATATTTGATAACCGGGGTGTCCCCCGGAATCAAATAAATTATCATATCGAGAATCGGAGATCCTTGCAGTTTCGGTTTTTTCGAAATGTGAGAGATTTTCCGTTCTAATAAATATATTTGATAACCGGGGTGTCCCCCGGAATCAAATAAATTATCATATCGAGAATCGGAGATCCTTGCAGTTTCGGTTTTTTCGAAATGTGAGAGATTTTCCGTTCTAATAAATATATTTGATAACCGGGGTGTCCCCCGGAATCAAATAAATTATCATATCGAGAATCGGAGATCCTTGCAGTTTCGGTTTTTTCGAAATGTGAGAGATTTTCCGTTCTAATAAATATATTTGATAACCGGGGTGTCCCCCGGAATCAAATAAATTATCATATCGAGAATCGGAGATCCTTGCAGTTTCGGTTTTTTCGAAATGTGAGAGATTTTCCGTTCTAATAAATATATTTGATAACCGGGGTGTCCCCCGGAATCAAATAAATTATCATATCGAGAATCGGAGATCCTTGCAGTTTCGGTTTTTTCGAAATGTGAGAGATTTTCCGTTCTAATAAATATATTTGATAACCGGGGTGTCCCCCGGAATCAAATAAATTATCATATCGAGAATCGGAGATCCTTGCAGTTTCGGTTTTTTCGAAATGTGAGAGATTTTCCGTTCTAATAAATATATTTGATAACCGGGGTGTCCCCCGGAATCAAATAAATTATCATATCGAGAATCGGAGATCCTTGCAGTTTCGGTTTTTTCGAAATGTGAGAGATTTTCCGTTCTAATAAATATATTTGATAACCGGGGTGTCCCCCGGAATCAAATAAATTATCATATCGAGAATCGGAGATCCTTGCAGTTTCGGTTTTTTCGAAATGTGAGAGATTTTCCGTTCTAATAAATATATTTGATAACCGGGGTGTCCCCCGGAATCAAATAAATTATCATATCGAGAATCGGAGATCCTTGCAGTTTCGGTTTTTTCGAAATGTGAGAGATTTTCCGTTCTAATAAATATATTTGATAACCGGGGTGTCCCCCGGAATCAAATAAATTATCATATCGAGAATCGGAGATCCTTGCAGTTTCGGTTTTTTCGAAATGTGAGAGATTTTCCGTTCTAATAAATATATTTGATAACCGGGGTGTCCCCCGGAATCAAATAAATTATCATATCGAGAATCGGAGATCCTTGCAGTTTCGGTTTTTTCGAAATGTGAGAGATTTTCCGTTCTAATAAATATATTTGATAACCGGGGTGTCCCCCGGAATCAAATAAATTATCATATCGAGAATCGGAGATCCTTGCAGTTTCGGTTTTTTCGAAATGTGAGAGATTTTCCGTTCTAATAAATATATTTGATAACCGGGGTGTCCCCCGGAATCAAATAAATTATCATATCGAGAATCGGAGATCCTTGCAGTTTCGGTTTTTTCGAAATGGAAAATCAAATTAGGCGTAAAGCAAAATTGATATTTCATATGGTTTTATGATAGATAAGCATTATATTCCCACTCATTATATTCGTAAATTTTGATGTTTATCATTCGCTTTTAAGATCATTGAATTTGATTTTTATATAAAATAGTTTATATATTAGAAAATAATATGAGTTTATGTGATATTATTTTTCAGAAGATTTCATTCTATATGCCTATGAAAAGTACTCTCAAAACAAACTTTTTCCTAATTATTTAAATCTATGTATTAGCATTAGTGTTCTATAGTATATATTTCATTTTTCTCATTCAATTAGAATTTACAAATGTCAAAAATTGAGAAGACTGTACTTTTTGAGATTTTCTGTTTATTACATTACATGATCCTCTCATGTGCACCCTTAATAAATTCAGGTTGATGTAAAAAATAAACTTCACAAATCTTGATTTCTCTCAAATCATGATTTTGAAAAAAAAGTCGTTCATACGTAGATTTAAGTAATAAGAATTTTTAAAGCATTTTTGACTTTTTACATTTAGAAAGTCGTCAGTGAATAAAAGTTGATGTTAAGCAATTATGAGATCGATAGTAAGGAGTCAGCAAAGCATATAGCTAGCTATATCGAAGACGGAACATTCTTTCAAATCTTCGACTCAATAAAAATTACAGCTGATATTTTGAAATATTCGAAGCTCGGGCTGAGAGAAGTTGATTTACTCTTCAAATCTGGAAGGGAACAATACAACAGTAACGATTTATTCAGGTGTTTTCATAAAGCTCGAGTCCATGTTAATAATTACGAAGAATTGAAGTATATATTCACTCTTTTTGAAGAGAAACTTGATTTCAGATCAATGAGAGAAATTAGCCACCAATTCGATAAAATTATGCAAGAAAATCAAAAATTAACAGAAAATACAATGACCTTTACAACAAAGCACGCGAATACTCAAAGAAATGTGATGAACTTCAACAAAAACTTTCACAGCAGCAAGAATACAGTAAGATAATTAGTGAATTAAAATCACAAATTTCTTCAAAAGAATCCGAGATACAAAAATTACAAAAACAACTTAAGTCTAAAGATAACGATATTTTTACCTTGAAAGAACAGTTATCTTCCAAAGATTCAGATTTTCAGTCTTTGAAATCTCAACTTTCTTCTTCAGAAAAACGGTAAAATCACTGAAGCAACAAATATCAGCAAACGAAAGCACAATAAGCCAACTCCGCGAAAAAGATGAAGAATCAGAATCATTAAACTCCCTCCAGAAATGCAGCAAAGCAGATGGAGTTGAAAATGTTCACAGAATTTACACAATTCTCTCATTCGCAGCTCAAGAAGGCTACATGGAAACGATCAAACATGCAGTGAGATATGGATACATTAATGTCAAATGCGACATTGAACAGAATAATTACAGACTCTTGGGAATGAATGGACTTATATATGCTGCATACAAGGGAGATCTTCCTCTTGTCAAAGCATTCAACAAGTGCGATGTTGACATGAAATTCAGAACAAAAGAAGGAGAAAGTATCATTCATGCATTCAGCATTTCAGGCAATCTTGAAGGCCTCAAATATGCTGAGAATTTCTTAAGCATCAATGACGTTAATGAGGCTGATGAAACAGCGTTACATTGTGGTGTTTTCTTCCTCAGATTAGCAGTTATTCAGTACCTTGCTAATAATTCTAATGTTGAGAAGAATATTGTTTCAGACTCTGGAACACCAATCAAGTGCGCAATCAATAGGAGTAGGATCTATCTTAATTTGGCATCTTATTTAGATGATCACGGTTGCGAATTAACTGACAAAGAAAAAGACGAACTCAGAAGTAATAATAATCATCTTCATCCAGTTCAGATTCCGATTCTGAAGATTCTACTGACAGAGCTATTGATTTTTAGGAAAATTACTTATTCTTAATGCGTTACTTAACTAAATTTTTAGTTTTTATTTTAAATTTTTATAAATATCTTAAATTTATTAACAAGATATAAAGTAATCTCAATAAGACTCTTCCAAATATAACGATCATCAAAGATAATTATATCTAGATAATTTTTATTTTTTATTTTTTCGACAAAGTTTTTAAAAAGATTGATTAAGGGATGTTACCTTTAGATCCATAGTATATATGTTAATCTCAAAACAAAGCTATCGTAAAAGGAACTTGATTCTTCTTATAATGCTTCGAAGAATTTACAAATGCTTTAGGGCAAATATTGCAATAATTATATCCAATCTGTTCCTTGTACCAGCATATATTACTTTAGATGAAACAGATTTCTTTCTTTGGGAAATTTAATTTTTAGTCAGAAAAAGTGTAAGCATTGTCAAAATTTGAATGCAAAACAATTTTAATTAAAAGTCATTTATGTGTATCTTAGTCTAATGAGTATTTTTTATGACGACTCAAAAAAATTTTTTTTTATAGTCGCAGGTCATAAAAGGCTAATGTTAAGCGATTGCGTGATAGATAATAGAGAGTCGGCAAAGCATATAATTAGCTATATCGAAGACGGAACATTCTTTTATCTTTGACTCAATTAAAATTGCAGTCAATGTTTTGAAATATTCGAAGCTAGGATTGAGGAAAGTTGATTTACTCTTCAAGTTCGGAAGAGAACAATTAAGTACTAATGATTTATTCAGAAGTTTTCATAAAGCTCGTGTCCACGTTAAAGATTACAAAGAATTGAAGTGCTTAATAACTCTTTTTGAAGAGAAACTTGATTTCAGATCAATGAAAGAAATCAGCTATCATTTCGACAAAATTTTTCAAGAAAATCAAAAATTAACAGAACATTACCATGATCTTTATAACAAACTTCGGGAAACCTCAAAGAACTGCGAGGAACTTAAGCAAAAACTTGCCCAGCAACAAGATTCCATTAAGCAAGTTAATGAATTAAAATCACAAATTTCTTCAAAAGATTCTGACATACAAAATTTACAAAAGCAACTTAAATCAAAAGACAACGATATTTCTACATTGAAGTCTCAACTTTCTTCCAAAGATTCCGAAATTTCATCGTTACAGAAGCGCCTTGCTTCCAAAGATTCGGAACTTCCACCGTTGAGATCCCATATTTCTTCCAAAGATAATGAGATCCAGTCGTTGAGATCTCAACTTTCTTCCAAAGATTCCGAAATTTCATCGTTACAAAAACGTCTTTCTTCCAAGGATTCGGAACTTCCTCCGTTGAGGTCTCAGATTTCTTCTAAAGATTCCGAAATTTCTAACTTGAAGAGACGAATTTCTTCCAAAGATGAAGAAATTGAGTCATTGGAATCTCGTCTTTCTTCCAAAGATAATGAAATTTCTACATTGAGGAAACGCGTTTCTTCCTTAGAAAGTGGATATGATTCATTGAAATCTCAGATTTCTTCCAAAGATGACGACATTTCTACTTTGAGGAAACGTCTTTCTTCCAAAGATTCCGAAATTGACTCATTGAAAGAAAGTATTTCATCCAAGGATGATGACATATCTGAATTGCAGTCACGTATTTCATATAGGAATAATGAAATTTCTAAATTAAAGAATACTATTTCTTCCAAAGATGATGATTATAAAGCCAAATGTGTTGAAGTTGCTGCATTGCAGGCAGGTGTTTTATTAATGCAAAATCAACTTCAGCAAAACCAAAATATGATCGCTCAATTGTAACAACAATTGAACAACCGTGGAGGCATGATGATGCAAGGTGGAATGGTGATGCCAGGTGGCATGGTTGTACCAGGCAATTTTGTGGTTAGGAACTTTTTCATGTGAAATTATAAAATTTATATGTTTATATTGTAATTAAAGTAAAATTTCATTAATTATAGAATAAAAGGCAGCAAATAATATAGTAACTTAAAGAGAGATATCTTGTCACTTCATTCTGTGTGAAAATTGCTGAATTCTTTCGTAATAGATAAAAAGTATATGGTATTATTCATATTAAGTTCCTAAGAAATGATATACTTTGTTTTATAAAGCCTTAGCCCTTCTGTCTTCAGTTCTTTAAAGATATTCTTGTTTTTAAGTGAATTTTTGAAATGGCTGACTAATATTGGATTCCTTTTCTAACGCATACTTATTTATTGTAAAGGAAACGCCATAAAGATCGTATCAACAAACTGGAGAGTTACATCATTATCTGTGGTAAAGGATTTGAGATATCTTTCTAAATACGTATTGCATTTATTTTTGCATCCCAAGCCAAAAATCAAGTAATAGGCTCTTCTGGCCAGGAGGAATATTTCAAAATCATTATGAATTACAATTAACGCGCAAATATAATTTTAGGAAGCTTTTGTTGCATTAGTATTATTGTATTTTTATTCAAAAATAACAATATATTAAAATTAAAGAAAACTTTGTTTTAAGAATTGAAAATTTTAAATAAAAAAGGAATGTTAGTAATGCTAATTTATTTGATTCCGGGGGACACCCGGTTATCAAATATATTTATTAGAACGGAAAATCTCTCACATTTCGAAAAAACCGAAACTGCAAGGATCTCCGATTCTCGATATGATAATTTATTTGATTCCGGGGGACACCCCGGTTATCAAATATATTTATTAGAACGGAAAATCTCTCACATTTCGAAAAAACCGAAACTGCAAGGATCTCCGATTCTCGATATGATAATTTATTTGATTCCGGGGGACACCCCGGTTATCAAATATATTTATTAGAACGGAAAATATCTCACTTTTCGAAATTTTTTTAACAAAAATATGGCATTCTTAAATTATAGTTACATGTTATTTCACAATCATTATCATTAAAAAATTCAATTATTCAAGTTGTTTTGTCCCGACGGTTTTTACGGTTATAAAAATGGTTGCGAACTCAATCCATCAGCAAAATGTCGGTTGGGGTGCCCTTCTTGGCCTCCTGAGTACTCACCAAGATACCCCCAGCTCCCGCAAAACACCTCCCTTAGGTGAGCATTAACTGATGACATGAGTTAACAATTCTACAAAATCATCAAGCATGAAGGTTTATGATTTATAAATCAAAATCTCAGAAACTGCTTGACTTTGCAAGTTGCTGTCTTTACCGGTTACTCTGCTGCAATCTCTTTTCTGATTGCAGGCAGAGTTCTGCATCCTGAGGACTTTGCCTTGCAGATATGCTTGTAATCACTACGTGAGCAACTTAGTGTTGCAAGTTGCTGTCTTTACCGGTTAGCTTTTTTTGAAGTTTCTTCGCATCTTATATAAGCTCTAGATCAATATTTATCATCAGAATTTGCATCTCATAAAGCACGATATTAATCAAATAGGCAAATTTCATTCGGAGTCTCTCATTAAATGAGAAACTCCGAATGAGATTTGCTCTAAGGTAATGTACTTGTTATGCTTGGCCTAGAAGCAAGGAGGAAACATGTATATGGTTTGTTTATACTGAAGTTATCTGGAATTCTCTCAATTGAGGATTCAAATCCAGATAAAATCTCAATTATCTCGTCATGTAGTTCGTATTTTCGCGTTCTGAGAGCGGAAAACGCATTTTTTGAATGCGTAGATTCCGAATCACACGGAAAAAATAGGTTTTAATAAGAAAAATAGACAATTTATGAAGTAACAAAGCACATACTATTATAAAAAAGAAAAACATTTTTTCATATGAAAGAAAAATAACGTATTTTTTACAGAGCGTAGGTATATATCGAGCCAATTCACACCATAAATTCTTTTCTCGTTCTCGGGCCTATAAACAACCTGAGGTGCACAACAATATTAACTTATACTGCTGTTATCTGGATTTGAATCCTCAATTGAGAGAATTCCAGATAACTTCAGTATAAACAAACCATATACATGTTTCCTCCTTGCTTCTAGGCCAAGCATAACAAGTACATTACCTTAGAGCAAATCTCATTCGGAGTTTCTCATTTAATGAGAGACTCCGAATGAAATTTGCCTATTTGATTAATATCGTGCTTTATGAGATGCAAATTCTGATGATAAATATTGATCTAGAGCTTATATAAGATGCGAAGAAACTTCAAAAAAAGCTAACCGGTAAAGACAGCAACTTGCAACACTAAGTTGCTCACGTAGTGATTACAAGCATATCTGCAAGGCAAAGTCCTCAGGATGCAGAACTCTGCCTGCAATCAGAAAAGAGATTGCAGCAGAGTAACCGGTAAAGACAGCAACTTGCAAAGTCAAGCAGTTTCTGAGATTTTGATTTATAAATCATAAACCTTCATGCTTGATGATTTTGTAGAATTGTTAACTCATGTCATCAGTTAATGCTCACCTAAGGGAGTGTTTTGCGGGAGCTGGGGGTATCTTGGTGAGTACTCAGGAGGCCAAGAAGGGCACCCCAACCGACATTTTGCTGATGGATTGAGTTCGCAACCATTTTTATAACCGTAAAAACCGTCGGACAAAACAACTTGAATAATTGAATTTTTTAATGATAATGATTGTGAAATAACATGTAACTATAATTAAGAATGCCATATTTTTGTTAAAAAAATTTCGAAAAGTGAGATATTTTCCGTTCTAATAAATATATTTGATAACCGGGGTGTCCCCGGAATCAAATAAATTATCATATCGAGAATCGGAGATCCTTGCAGTTTCGGTTTTTTCGAAATGTGAGAGATTTTCCGTTCTAATAAATATATTTGATAACCGGGTGTCCCCCGGAATCAAATAAATTATCATATCGAGAATCGGAGATCCTTGCAGTTTCGGTTTTTTCGAAATGTGAGAGATTTTCCGTTCTAATAAATATATTGATAACCGGGGTGTCCCCGGAATCAAATAAATTATCATATCGAGAATCGGAGATCCTTGCAGTTTCGGTTTTTTCGAAATGTGAGAGATTTTCCGTTCTAATAAATATATTATAACCGGGGTGTCCCCCGGAATCAAATAAATTATCATATCGAGAATCGAGATCCTTGCAGTTTCGGTTTTTTCGAAATGTGAGAGATTTTCCGTTCTAATAAATATATTTGATAACCGGGGTGTCCCCCGGAATCAAATAAATTATCATATCGAGAATCGGAGATCCTTGCAGTTTCGGTTTTTTTCGAAATGTGAGAGATTTTCCGTTCTAATAAATATATTTGATAACCGGGTGTCCCCGGAATCAAATAAATTATCATATCGAGAATCGGAGATCCTTGCAGTTTCGGTTTTTTCGAAATGTGAGAGATTTTCCGTTCTAATAAATATATTTGATTAACCGGGGTGTCCCCCGGAATCAAATAAATTATCATATCGAGAATCGGAGATCCTTGCAGTTTCGGTTTTTCGAAATGTGAGAGATTTTCCGTTCTAATAAATATATTTGATAACCGGGGTGTCCCCGGAATCAAATAAATTATCATATCGAGAATCGGAGATCCTTGCAGTTTCGGTTTTTTCGAAATGTGAGAGATTTTCCGTTCTAATAAATATATTTGATAACCGGGGTGTCCCCCGGAATCAAATAAATTATCATATCGAAATCGGAGATCCTTGCAGTTTCGGTTTTTCGAAATGTGAGAGATTTTCCGTTCTAATAAATATATTTGATAACCGGGGTGTCCCCCGGAATCAAATAAATTATCATATCGAGAATCGAGATCCTTGCAGTTTCGGTTTTTTCGAAATGTGAGAGATTTTCCGTTCTAATAAATATATTTGATAACCGGGGTGTCCCCCGGAATCAAATAAATTATCATATCGAGAATCGGAGATCCTTGCAGTTTCGGTTTTTTCGAAATGTGAGAGATTTTCCGTTCTAATAAATATATTTGATAACCGGGGTGTCCCCCGGAATCAAATAAATTATCATATCGAGAATCGGAGATCCTTGCAGTTTCGGTTTTTTCGAAATGTGAGAGATTTTCCGTTCTAATAAATATATTTGATAACCGGGGTGTCCCCCGGAATCAAATAAATTATCATATCGAGAATCGGAGATCCTTGCAGTTTCGGTTTTTTCGAAATGTGAGAGATTTTCCGTTCTAATAAATATATTTGATAACCGGGGTGTCCCCCGGAATCAAATAAATTATCATATCGAGAATCGGAGATCCTTGCAGTTTCGGTTTTTTCGAAATGTGAGAGATTTTCCGTTCTAATAAATATATTTGATAACCGGGGTGTCCCCCGGAATCAAATAAATTATCATATCGAGAATCGGAGATCCTTGCAGTTTCGGTTTTTTCGAAATGTGAGAGATTTTCCGTTCTAATAAATATATTTGATAACCGGGGTGTCCCCCGGAATCAAATAAATTATCATATCGAGAATCGGAGATCCTTGCAGTTTCGGTTTTTTCGAAATGTGAGAGATTTTCCGTTCTAATAAATATATTTGATAACCGGGGTGTCCCCCGGAATCAAATAAATTATCATATCGAGAATCGGAGATCCTTGCAGTTTCGGTTTTTTCGAAATGTGAGAGATTTTCCGTTCTAATAAATATATTTGATAACCGGGGTGTCCCCCGGAATCAAATAAATTATCATATCGAGAATCGGAGATCCTTGCAGTTTCGGTTTTTTCGAAATGTGAGAGATTTTCCGTTCTAATAAATATATTTGATAACCGGGGTGTCCCCCGGAATCAAATAAATTATCATATCGAGAATCGGAGATCCTTGCAGTTTCGGTTTTTTCGAAATGTGAGAGATTTTCCGTTCTAATAAATATATTTGATAACC